ATTGTGGAACAACGTGTGGTTGCCATCACCCCATGGGAATGGCTGAAACGGTAGGAAAACTAGGAAACCAAGGAAATGTCGAAATTAGCTGGTGACAAACCTTATTTCTAACGTTCATGAATGGGTATGCGACGTATTCCGGACGCTCGTGTGACATGTGACTTTCGTGGTCCTTATACGCGGCATACATTGTGAGGGCAAGACATGGAATCGCCGCAAACGCGAAGATCTTCTTCCAAGTGCTGCTTGTTTCTGAAAAGGATTGTGTTTTCACTAATCTAACACAGCTGCCTTAATTCAGAGATCTTCTCCCCTTATTAAGTGCTAGTAAATACCTCATTCATTTACGCGTGGATGAGATCACTAGTGCGAGGTTCTGCGATCAGGGTCAACCGCCGAGCTCTAAGTTTTTCATTTCTCAAAATTTTGCTATCCACCCTGCTCAGGGGTCGGGCTCTACCCTCCACCAGCACCATACGTGAAGAGGGTTACCCACAAGTACAATCCCACTTGCGGGGAGAGGCAAATACCGGGGAGAGGCAATAAATAAAGTCACTCCTTCACATTCGAAGTTGTGTAGCAATCTTCAATATTCAGAGTGCCTGTAGCAGAGGGTACTAAATGCCCCCTGCCACATTAACTACATTCAGCGGAGCGTCCACTTAATGATCGAAGAGCGCTTTCTATCCTGCCGAGTACCTCCAGCCTAGCCTTCTACGCGGACGACAGCAGTAGAATTTTCCACAGAAACATGGGATACGGTTTGAACTCACCAAGGTCCCTGACGGCCCGTGGACTATTACGAAGTTGTCTGAAACGCTGGTCAGAAATAATCTTGTATTTCGGAACTGCTGTCTCTAGCAGCTATCCATCAGTGAACTCATCAAAGAGCTGTGTAGCAAATGCAGGCTGGAGCGATTACGGTAGGTCTTGAGCTTGACGGTAATGGCATAACCTCATAATCTAAAGACGGTGGGAACAGAGGAGGAGGTTTAGCAGCAAAACTTCCATCAACGGCGGCACCCTCTGCGATGAAAAGTTTGATCATTTGCGCCATGAGTCAAATGAGTTTCTTTAGTTCTCTGTATAGTTAAAGAAACGTAAAGTTCCCCACTCGAAGCCCCCAATTGCTTCATTGCCTCTACTTATGCATTGCTCGTGGAATTCCCCTCGAAAAGTTGTCAGAAGCCAGTGAAAGATCCCTCTCCCACAACCATAACCCGTCAACTGGTCAATTGCCACAAATACGACCACAATATTGTAATGCTAAATCAGTCGACCATAAAAGACAGCAATAGTCGCCATCCTGCCCATTGGCATATATTTGATACATTTTGAGTGCAAGAAAAAAGGTGTGACCGATGAAAGTGAACAACGCTAACCTTTTCCTGCGGTAGTGCACAAATTGACGAGGTCATATTTTTCTAAGGTGCCGTCTTTATCAAAAAGAAGGGATTCTGTAGCGGGGGGGAAGGAACGCGGTGGAGATGAGAGGAGGGGTTAAATCGTGTTTGAAGCTTTTCCGCTACCCCTAGGACGCGATTCAGATCACTCTCAGCGGTCTTGGAAAATCACAATGGAGCAATGGGCACTGATCACTCTCTTGATTACTTCATTGGGAGTGAAGAAACGTGCATCCCTGCGTACGAGTTTCCATGTACATACATTCTTTCTCATTCATCAAAAACGTTTCAAGATAGTATGAAAGTCAAAACAAGTGCTTAGTGAAGGCCAACAAAAGCGATCAATTTTTGAATGGCAGAGTGGTGACATGGTTGGGGCGTCTTCCTTGTATCAGGTGTCATAGGAAGATTTCTAAAAAACATCTGAAGGGACTTACGGTTGGCTTTCACGGAAGAATTCCAAGTGAAGCCTTCTTGAAATTGTCGAAATTGCGTCCGCCGTAGAAAGAACCACCAGAAGAGCATCTCTTCGAGATGGCAACGCGAGGCACCAAGCGTAGCATACTGTAATGGGAACAAAAACATACAAATAAACAATAACAATAACAAAGAAAAACAGAGATATAAAAAAGATTCCATGTGTTGCGAAACGGCAAAAGTGTTCAAATCGCAGAACATAGTAAACGATTAGTAAGCAGTCGAATGTGAAGGAGAGCGAATGAGTTGACGGTGCAGGTTCTGTTCCAAATTTTCAGGGTAAAGTCAAGCGCGTCAAGCTGTTCGATACTACAATTGAAAAAATGCTTAGCAACAACTGCAGAACCTTTTCACTTCCGTGAGAGAGAAGAAATCGCCACGCTAACAATATGTTAATATCGTGAAGCTTTCCCGAGCGTTTATTGCTGGGCAGTCTCCTTTGAATATGCCCCTTGTATTTCTTCCCATGCAAGCAGAACCTCTTCTTGCTTGAACTTGACATAGTCCTCAGATGGCCTTACGGACTTTGCGAGAGTTTCAAGAAAGGGTGTCGACGTATTCATTTTGTTCGATTTCGAACTACCAACTACACGCCGCCGTCGTCGTATTTGAATTGTTTTGAGGAAACAGATGGTTTCGCAGTAGCGATCTGGACCTGGCGGTTGTACTCCTAAACGTCAAGTAGACGGAATTTACCCAGTTCTAGCACGAATCTAGCACCACCGGCCTATCCCATTCGTATTTGTTTCAATGGAAAATTCTAATGGTAATCTGTTCAACCTTGTGAAAGAAGGACAAAGACAATTCTCGTGCGGTTTCTGCATTACAAAATGAAGGTAGGGTTACTAATTGGGTAGTTAATGAAGCAAAAAGAGGGCAAGGCTGCTGTAAATATTGAAATTTGGAGTCTCCTTCTCTGTGAAAAGGACTGCGTGACGACAAAAAGATACTGAGCGCTGAAGACAGAGCATAGGTCAAAGAATATGTGAAACGAGAAGGATCAAAGTTTCCTATCATGCAAACCGAATTTGCGAAAAAAAACGAGCGACCACTCGAAACCAGGTGCTACAAGGCCCCAGCGCCATTGTCACATGCTTCCCAGTCGCAACTGTGGCACCACCTCTGTGTAACCTTATGCAATTGGCCCATCCACGAACAAATAACAGTCTAATCGTGGAAGGGTGCTAAGTCAAGACGGCGGCGAATCAGCTGCATTTGCCTCATCGTCAGCCGTTCCTGAACCTACCTTAATATTATATTACCCTCCAAATAGCTAAATATCGGGTACCCGACAGGTGACCCGTCGCGTGACGAGAAGACAGAGACAGGCGGGTCAGCGGACGAGTAGCAGCGTGTATTGCGCGATGTGGGACATACTATAGTACATCCTATTGAACTTGACGTCAAATCGTTACAGTGGGACTGCGACTCATCCGCTGAGCTATCTGCGCCTCTGCCTTCTCGCCGCGCAACGAGCCTCCTGTCGGGTACCCAAATATCTCCTCAGTTGACTGTTCCCACTGTTTTTGTGAGCACCCATCCATGATTGTTTCCCGAGACTTTGAAGATCGTTTTTTGAACTCTGATTGTTAGTATGGTAGGAATAAATAAAATCGACAAAATGCTCGATGCTGATCAATTTCTTCCTTTTGGTTGCGACTTACATTCTCCTTCTGCTAGAAATCGATCTCCACCCTACTTCAGGGGCTATTTCGTCGCATCTGTTCAACTGCCGCTTCCCAATAACTGATACACAGCAAACCAAGTGAGGTGTGTACGATAATTCGTAGAAAGGCCTACAAGGTAAATACAACTGAAGTCAGGTGCCCAAGCAAGTCGATGGGTTTTAATGGTAAGAAGCGATCACGAACCCTCTTACCAACGCGCCAGAAACTTCTACCCCTCCTCCGATTTCCGCTCCGCCCCTGAATAACGCAATAACAAAAAATGTCTTCCTGATAATGATGTTAGCATCATGTTCCTTTCAATTTAAAAAGGAATCGCCTGCATTCTCATCCTACAGATTGATTATCCTGTGCCTTACCAATCAAATGATGACGTTTTTGGCATGCAGGTGTCGTGTAAACTATCAAGAAGGATCACGATCCTTTACAACGACTCACCAAACCATGTATCCACTGCTTTCACCAGTCCCTACGTAGATCTCTTGCTATTTCTTCTATTTCTTTGTTCCCAACAAAACTTTTTTCTTTTCATGCAAAAAACAATTCGTTTTTCGTTTCCTTTCCTCAGCTCATTTCACCATCGAGGGTTCAATGAGCAAACAACCCAAACAAGTGCCTTGAAACATATGCATTCTATTATAGTTTGGACCCAGCCACACTCCCCTGAAGGGTCAGGCCAAACGCTTAAAAGTTCAGCAGGAAAGGAAGAAACTTC